TGAATGAAGCAGGTCCATTTGGATTAAGAAATTCTAATGGATGACAGAGGCTATGGCACTTTCTCGAGCATGCATTTTCAAAATAGTAAGCTGCGTTTCAAGACGTTCCTTGTTCATATCTGGACCATGAAAGTTTCAGGTTGATAATGGATAACTTGAGAAATCTCCGCTTGCCTTATCTGTTTCTTAGCAAGTTTACTGACCAGTGTGGAAATGAATAAATTCAGGAATCTAAGGGATATACAAAAAGTCTTGCTAAGATTCAGGTCTGTGCGGTTTTTTCGTTTGCGAGGTATTCGGAGAAATGTGTCACCCAAATTTATAGAGTTTGGTTTTGAAACGCCAGCCATGTTGGCGTCCCTCTGAGGAACACAGATATGGCGGCCGGAAACTAACAGAAACATTGCCATAAAGCGAATACTCATCTCTAGAGAGCACATAAACATTAAACTTAATACGTATTCAAAAAACAAGGACTGTTCAGGTAGCAAAATCTAAAAAATATATATATATCACTCTTTAACCTACTGTTACGTGACAGCTTTTGTTCATGTTTTGTTGCCCTATTATTGTCGCGTCACGCAATATATTAGAATATTCAAACGCGTTCTGTCACAAAACGAAGAACCCTTTCGAACTGAAACTTTGTAGAAATACACGTGTTCAGTATGTTCTAATAGTTCACTAAATTGAAACTCAGAAGGATAAATAATTCTTTATTTTGAATTATGATTACGTTACGTGCAAACAATTCAACAACAATCGGATGGGTTAAGATTAGATAGCTAGGTCAACCAGACATAAAACAAACAAGCACTCTAGACAATAAACGTTTTAGGAGAGAGCTAGTATGGAAAGTTAAACTACAGTTTATATACAAGCCTACTTGATCTCTGGTCTCTCTCTGATCTTTCAGAACCTCTTTGTCAGCATAAGAGCTCTCGGTAGCTTGAAGTTCTTTGATCTAAACATCAAGCAAGTAACAAAAACGGTACTTTACGTCTGCATGGCTTTAAGCGGTCCTAGAGTCAAAAAGTTATTATCTCCATACTAGATTACGGCCCCTAATTCGAGGCACACCAGGTTTTATGGACTAAGATTCGTAAGCAGGATTTTAATACCATCCATATATGTTGTTACATCCAAGGATAAAATACTTTTGAAATATAAATAATAATAATAATAATAATAATAATAATAATAAATATTATATGATTATTATTGTTAGTATTATCATTAAATGCTTTATTTTACAATTTTGAAATAACTGCAGTTTCTTAAATAAGTTGTACAAAATCTTCAGATAGTACCAAAATATATTCGTAATGTTGTCTCCCTATATCTGTTTCTTTATAGTTTCGTTATAAACTAATTGTATAATTGTTCATGTCCTTACCTTTTTACGTCTGCGGCGTAGCCACGTCAGCAGGTCACCACACGGAACGTATTCTATAACCAGGAACATTTTCTCCTGATGCGTGCAGCATCCAACCATGGATACAACGTTCTTATGTGAACCCAAAAGTTTCATCTGTTCAATCTCAAACGTGAACTCTTCTTTCTGTGCTTCAGATGGATTATCTAAAGATAATTAAATAAAATGACATTGATTTTATTAGCGTTATTCTTCAGCATTATTCAGTGCAAAATGTTTCATTTGAAAAACATATTCGTCTATTTTTACCACTTTCCACTCAGCCTCTAATTAACAAGGGTATATACAGATGTATTCTACCGTGTAACAGAATATCGAGAAATATTCAGACATTTGTTATTATTTTTAGTTTACCCGACTGCATGCACCCTCCCAACAGCCCCGGGAGGTACTCCTGGAAAATTCGGGTGGTGGTGTGATGTGGCTATGTGGTTTCCCTCACTACCTAAACCGCTGTTCATAAAAGGCGAATGAAAAAAAAATAAATAGATAGATAGATAAATAAAGAAACAAAGAAACAAATAAATAAATAATAAACCAACAATAAGATAGAATAAAATAAATACAGACCTGGTACAAGGCAGAGCAAAACCTAATCCTGTTTCACGTATTACCTGTTTATCTGTTTTTCCCAAATCGTGGAAATCTTTTCCCAATTTCACACATAAAGGGGTCAACAACCATGTCCTTCCGCCCCGCTCACACTTGCATAGCTTCTATAAGAGAGTGCCCCCCTGGGTCTAGCCGTGAGCATGGTGATGTCGTAGCTCAGTTTCATAATTTCTTCCCCTTAGTTCTCCACATTATCAAATGACTTGCGGTGTAAACTGGGCAACATGGATCACAAAAAGGGGCAACCAAATCATCAGATGCAAAGAGTTGTCATCCATGTATTGACTAGAGGCTGCATTTTTTAAAATTTATTTTCATTATTGGCTTTAATTCAGGCTCTGTAGATCAATTTACTTTTTTTTGTTTTGGGGAAATGTAAATTAGTAAGAGATGCATTTGTTTAGAGCTAATAGGCTTAAACCTACTTTTTGGAACTTAACAGCCTTTATTATTTTTTACTACTTACATAGTGAACAAAGAAACCACAAATTACTTGCACTTCCAACATTGCCGTGCTCTTCACCAACGAGAGACAATCCCGATTTTAAAAATGGAGTGTCTCTGGGTGGTGTAATTTGTTTTACCATGCGATCACGTCTTCGAAAAGAATCGAGTTTTGTTTTTTTTCTGAGATCTTAAAGTTCCCAAAGAGTTACTTAAATCCATAAGGATTCTTACAGTAATCTGAAGAGGACTGAAAGGCAGTTAAGACTTTATGCCTTATTTGTCTATGGAGATAACAGTCAGTATTTCGTACCAAGTAAAACTTTGACAGCCACCAGCTGTGCTTCTTTCTTTGCGGATGATACAGGCCATTTTGAAGTCTCAGTGACCAACGCGTCCATCTCGTCACTCTTTATAAAGGTTGCTTTATAAACAACACCAAATTCTCCTCTCCCCAGCTCTTCCTCAAAGTCTATTTGCTCAGGCAGAATTTCCCACTTGTCAGGAGGAGTAATCTCGTCTTGTGAATAAGGTGACCTAGAAAAAGGGGCAAAAAAGGCTGGATTATTACACTGAGCACAATATTATAGTAACATATACTCGCATATCTGTAAACTTTACCAACAACAAAAATTATTGCACCTGGCTACTGGTGCATCGCGGGAGGATAATGGCCGAAGCTGAGATGTTCTCTTAGTGAAAAAAAAAAAGCTTGATCAGAATAGCCGAGTGGTGATAAAATAAACTGATTTTTTTTTAAAAAGTACGATTCAGTCAAGGGCACCATCCTTTACAAACAATGACTGCAAAAAAAATTATTCAATCAGACTATTCTTAGGATTTTTCCTTTTTTTTTCTATGCATCTTTCGACAATGAAAACGTTCTTTGATTATTTTTCATCAGAATTGCAAATAAAGTAATGGTTTTCACTTCTAGTTAATGTTATCTGTCATCTTGGCAGGTGCACTACGTCGGTTTTATTGACACGTGATGTAATTTAACCAACAACGTAACGGGGAGCGAAGATTAATCGCCGCGTTTAGATAAAAAGACAAAACAAAAGTTTTATTTATTTCCGTGTTTATGTAGCCAGCATAGCTGGAGGTTCTTTGGTGTCTTCTTTTATTTTGTGGTTTGCAAAGTAAGAGTTACAGCCGCGCGAACACGGCTGAACCGAGGTCGAAACAGAAAACGATGGGGGAGGGGACGAAGGGAAAGAATAATTACCAGGAAAGCGCTAATAAAAAAACATTAAACGATCGTAAACAAAAAAACTTTGGCGCGACTTTTTATCGGCTGACGTCAGAACTTAAAACATGTCACATCATCCTTTCACAAAAACTGGAAAGGGCGTTTTAAAAATCTCAAGGGGTTGAGTACAGGAGGTTTTTCTCATTTACTTCTCCCCTCGCCTCCTTCCCTATCATTTCTTTTTTGTCCTCGGTTCACCTGTTAGCGCGGATGAATCTCTTACTTTACCAACCACTGAAAAGAAAAAAGGAGCAATCAAAAAACCCCCCAGCTACACATTAGCAGAGCTTCACAAACCTTTCAATACTCTTTGCCTTTCTTTTTCGGTAGCACCAGACGAAAATAGCGACCGACAACAGCAAAATAGCGGACGTGACACCAAGTGAAATGTAAATAACTTTGTTAATGACAGTGGAATTTTCTGGTGCAGATGCGGGAGTCGTGGTTTCTATGACTGCAAGCAAAATAAATATATTATACTGTGATCAAAGGTACTGTACTATAAATGGAAGTGGGGAAGTTTTTTCCAATAATATGCGGTCAGATTAAAAGGGTTACAGACATGTTAGAGCTTATATAGTGTTAAAACCTCTTCTCTTACTACACTGTCACTTGTTGACAGTGGAACTTGTCTACAACGCTTCGGCGAGGACAAAAGCGGGTCTTCGCTGGCTAACTGAGCTTGTACACTCGTGTCCTCTGTAATTATAAGATCCAGTCGTGATGAGAAGGCGTTTACACGAATAAAAGAACTTGTGCAACCACAAAGTATGGCAAAAACACCTCATGGTCTCAGCTGGCTAACTGAACTTAAACACTCGTCTCCTCTGTAGTTATAAGATACAGTCGTGATGAGAAGGCGTTTATACGAATAAAAGAACTTGTGCAACCACAAAGTATGGCAAAAGCACCTCATGAAATGAGTCCGTTACCTTAAAGTTGGGTAAACACAGATTCAAATAGCCGAAGACTTACCGTGTATCACGAAGAACCCGTTGTGCCATCACTGAACAACATTTTAAACACACCTACCTTAATCCTGCCGTAGCTGAGATTGGCCGAAGACTTACAAGTAACGAAATAGAAGCATTATAATCAAAGGAGGTAACAATTAAAAAGAAGAAAGAAAAAAATTCAGTAGGAGTACACCATATTTGCTTTCCGATCAGTTTTCTCCTCATTATCATCATGATTTAAAATTTTGAACCAACTTGTCTCTGTTTTGCAACATTGTCAAAATCTTAGAGTGCGAGTAAATTAATAAATTTTTGCGTTTGTATAACCATGACACTTACTATTATTGCAAAGATCTCCCTCACAACATTGCAAATGTTGGTCATCAAACTGTCTGCATTGATCAGCGGATATACATCCTTGAATGGTGACTTGTTGGTTATCCTCCGTTTTCTTGTCAAATTTGAAACAAAGGTTTTCTGGGAATGAGCAGTTGACTTTGATGGGAACCGATGAATCATTGTTTGGGTTCTGATAACAAATACTGCCTGTGGAAAAATGCAGGATAACTGAGAGGGTAGTCTCCTTATCACGTGGGTGTTTTAGATACAGAATATCTGACAAGGTCACTCCGCTTAGCGAAAGAAAAAGGTATGAGACAAATAATGCCGTTAAAGTAGGTAAGCGGCAGTATTTCAGAGATAATCTGGAAATGAACAAAGGAAACGCGCACAAAAGATGGGGTAACATCGCGCAAATAAGGAAAAAATCGAAACATCGAAAATTATTTCTGCAAACGAACTAGTTGATCCTATCAACAATTGTTTTCACAACTATCAGCCCTGACCTGGCAAGGGGGATACCAAAAATAAATTTCAAACAGTTGTGTTATCTTCGTCTCGTTTCCCTAGCCCCTAGTGAAATATTTGTAAACGAAAGGAAAGTCTAAGTAACCTAAAGTGGCCAGTGGTATTGTTTGGCCTTCATTATCAAGCATTAAGAACAGATAGAGACTGGGATTTTCCCAAGCAAGTGGAAGGCGGCCAAAGTAATCCCTATCTTTAATAAATTTAGTTAGCCATTCCTATGGCTAACTCGTGGATTAATTATTTTAGGTATAAAAGTTGATAATGAACTTGCAATTAGTCTAGCGGTGTATTTTAAGTCTGTCAAAAAATGAAAATATGTTTTAAGAAAAAAACAAAACCAAACAAAACGACCAAAAAAAAAATTTCTCTAGCTGGAGTCAAGCCCCGAACCTTCGACATGCAAGGTCAAGGCGTTATATTGCGCAAGTACGACAGCTAATTTTAAATTAATTAAAATTAATTGTCTTTAACATTTTTGCCCATAAAATTCTCCGGTGGACGCTGGTAGAGCTTTATTTATGAGGAACTGAAAAATAAATTCGAGGAAAACAAGCATGGTTTTGACATGCTTTGACGGTAAAAGCCGTACTTTAACTCATGAACCTTAGATGTCTCGCAAAACCGTCGTGAAGACTCCTGCTGACGGCATTGTACAGTTTACAATTCCGCTGCGTTAACCTCAGGAGTACTCAACGAGAAAAAATTCGAAAGTGATTTGATATCGCCTCCAGTAATATTTTGACAGTGACTAAGTCTTTTTTGGTTGATTATTAACTTCTGTGGGAAAATTATATCTGCTTCCCAAAGCCAGCTAGAGGTAGATGTTAAAATAAATATCCAGCCAGGATCTTTTCCTTAAGGGCTTTTCCCAGCTAGCATTTTTACCAAAAAGTCATTTTCCCAGCCAGGAACGTCTATTCCTTCCTTTTTTCACAGCAAAAAATAACTGATAATTAGCCAGCCAGGAAAAAGAAATTGAGCCATTTTCTCCAAGTGATGGGAAAAAAAAGGGAGATAATTAGTGTTTTGAAACCTTTCCTTTGGCTGTGACCACGGTACACGTTTACTCTGTACGCGGGTTTTAATTTCTAATTTCTAATTACCGTTATTGTCTGCGTCATTTCGCCGGCTTTTCAAGCTCAATGGTCTGTAGGAATTAAAAATCTTCAGCTCATTCCAAATGAGAGCGAAGTTGGGAAAATTAAAGAGCTGGTCAGTCACCAGATTTGAATACTAAGACTAAAACTATGACTCCCTTACAACCTCGTTCCCAGGGTAAGAGAATGTCTGTAAAATACTTTGGCTATTAAATTAAGTTCGACGTCCGAAACAACCGTTGAACTTATATCATTTAACAGGTATCAAGTTCGGTAAATGAAAAGTTCGACGTTTGAATTGTGCCTATTAACTGTGTCTTCTTTTCTTCTTTTTTATCGGTCATTTCTTTGCGCAAAGCCCTTAAAGATACTTGTGTGGGTCCAAATATGGCTTTCAGTCCTTAACCCGAGTAATGACACTAAACTGATCCGCAATTTACCCGTACCCCTAAACAAGGCGTCAAGTATCCCCGTCTTTTTATATGGGGAAGCATCAGTCCCCCCGGGCATTAACTAAACCTTTAGTAGAATTGGATCATATAAAATTTGTATTTACTTATAGTTGAGGCGGCTGGCCTTTCACAAACATAGTGCATATAGAGACCGTCACAGTTGTCGGGCTCTTCAATCGTTCCAGTGTGTGTCTTCATTCGTCTACATTTTGATGAGTTTCCGGTGTTGTCAACCCACACGTACTTAAAAATGGACACAGACAAGACATTAACTGAACTGAAACTGAAAACTGAAAACTTTATTTATACTAGAGGGTCTGGAGCTTATTAGGCTCCTAGCTTAAATAGCTAATGAGTCGAGGTTAAAAACAAACAAGAAGAAATTAACTGAATTAAACTATTTACATCATGATGCGATATTGTTTACAAATAATGAGTCTAAAAGGTACAATATAAACGATAGCCTAACAGTTGCATAAAGAGCAGTTACATGCGTCAAAGGTGATCTTTCTGATGCGTGTTACAAATTTTTTAAGGGTCGGAGAAGTTCTTAGTTCATCATTTAGAGAGTTCTTAACAAATGTAGTTAAGTACAAACAAGACCCCCATATTAAATGGGGGTTCATTCAGGTCTGCCGGCTGCGCGTTTTTAAGCCGGGGATGGATGGGCAAGTTAACCTTTTGAAATAAGAAATGATTGGCATTAGTTTGGAGTCATTAACTTTGCCCTAAGTGAGAAGTAGATAAATTACTGAGGGTTTTAAATACTTTTATTTATAAACAGTAATTTTCTGTCTCTTAAAACTTGCAAAGCAAATTAAAATCAGTTTTATTTCTGTCGGACATTGCATATAAAGCTTTTGTTACTATCCAAGTGAATGTGTCAATTTTACTTGCGATTTACAAATTGCACATTGCTTTCTTGCAAGGAGAGAATTTTCACATGCAGGGAGAGAATTGTAACAAGTTGAAGCTTTTCCCGTGGGGACCGTGGGAGGAAATTGTTTCTGCAGCTCCCGCGCAGGCTAACAACATCATCGAATACTGTACCAAGATAATCATTCAGGTCGAGCCACCTTAAGGCTATCATTAAGGGTGCTTTAAAACATGAAAACTTGTCAAAACGTTTTTATAGCCTCGTCACTAATCATGGGGCGTTTGTTATTATCGCATTATTCGAAAAATGCTGCAAATCACTGCCACCCACCTTTAAAAAAACGGTAGTGCTTTTTTTACGTCTTTCTTAGTAAGCCTAGATTGACAGACGGTGGACTATTACTAATCATTTCACAATAGAGAGAAGTGTGACGTCACCTTATCATGGTTGCAAAATTCCTGGATCTCAACAATCTTATGGAAGAAAAGTATTGGCCACTTTAGAAAATACCGTAATAATCTTTTTGTCCTGCAAAAAAACATTTTGTATAGCCAGGGTAGTTTCAGTTTCTTTTGGAACGATTCTAAGACCCAAGAGAAACTGAAAACAATGGTTATGCAAAATTTGGGGGGGGGGCGCTTTGGGGAGGGGAAGGATCATTATGGTATTTTCTAAAGTGGCGAATGGGCTACTAACTGTTTTGTTTCTGAGATCAGAACAATCATGCATAGGAGAATATTCAAACAACTCAGCAAGTAAAAATTGCCATATTTGCACTGACACAAGATTTGTTGAGATTCAGAAATTTTGCTTCCGTAGCAACGTGACGTAGTGACTTCTCTCTATTCTTTACACAAGAAGAAGATATGAGTAAGTATGTCTTTACGTTTGATTTTAATACCTGGTGACGCCTGCATTAAATAACTCGTACTTACATTTATTTCCTCTTTCTTTACACCAGAAGCTTCCAGGAAACGAATCAAAAATCGGCGCTGATCGTAATTATCTATCTTCACCAGACCTCCTCCGAAGTCAGAACATGCCTCTTGAGCACCTACCCATGTATTTTGATTTTTTTTATTTTCTTTGTAGCAAGATGATCCACTGAGATACCAATCGGTAGAACAAGCCAGTGGACCTAATTTAAAGAACAGTTAGTAGTACACTAAACCAAGAAAGTCAACCTGATGGGTGACAAATTGGCGCGAAATTTCAGCGATAATTTAAAATTTCACATGTGAAATTATAAAATTGCCTTGGCAACTCGGCTTTCGTACGTCTCAGTGCTAAGATGGCGGCAAAGTTTTTAAATGTTAGAAATGAAGATGTTAGGGCATCAAAAGACGGTTAAGAAAACTTAAATACACGAAAGAGCACATCAAGAAGGATTCTATCAGGAATTTGGTCGAAGAAGTCTGAAACTTATAAACTTAACGAAGATTTTGAGCTCTATTAAGTTTTCAGTGCGTGGATTTCTCGTTCGATAATCTTGTGATAAACATGTAAAAAACCTACGATTGTGAGCGTAATTCGTCAGTGGGGTCTCCCATGATATTAATCAGAGGTAATCAAATGGTATACTCGTGAAATTAGGTGGTAATTTCCCTCGCCCACATTAGTAGGATTTGGACAAGAGTGCAACACCCGTGAAATTATAGCATTTGATTGATACATACGTGTACTAATCCCACAAGAGGGAAAACGTGAGCAGTGAACCAGTTAAAACTCAAAGTAACTTTGGCGATAAGTGTAGAAAAAAACGAAAGCAAAACAAGTCCCCAGGGGAGAAGTCGCCAAAAAGGATAATAAGGGAACTCGTCCTACCTTTTGGGGGTTAATATTTGATTTGTGGATTGATACCACTTAGTGGCCGGCTCTTATCTAAAATATGAACATACTAGATGTTGCTATAAGAGCTCTTTGGTACCTTTAGAAGCCTGTCGAGGTGTCTCGCGGAAATTATAAGATGTATTTTCGTTACTCAAACGTTTTTTCCGTATAGTACCTCTCAGAAGGGGTTAAAATGAATTTGAGCCACACACACATGCTATATTCTAATATCTTTTAGGGGTGTATTTTGAAAATTTCGACGAGCACCTCCAAATTTTTGTAGAGACGCCCCCCCCCCGGAACAAGTCAAACCCCCCCCGATACCGACCCTCTGACCAAGCACGACGCGCTTCCTGTCTGCACTCCCCCAGCGTCTCCAGGAGGTACTACTGGAAACTTCCGGTGCTCGTGTGCTGAGGCTATGTGGTTCCCATCACTACATAAACCGCTGCTAAAAAAAGGAGAATGAAAAAAAAATATATAGATAGATAGATAAATAAAGAAACAAACAAACAAATAAATAAATAATAAACCAACAATAAGATAGAATAAAATAAATACAGACCTGGTACAAGGCAGAGCAAAACCTAATCCTGTTTCACGTATTACCTGTTTATCTGTTTTTCCCGAATCGTGGAAATCTTTTCCCAATTTCACACATAAAGGGGTCAAAAACCATGTCCTTCCGCCCCGCTCACACTTGCATAGCTTCTATAAGAGAGTGCCGCCCTGGGTCTAGCCGTGAGCATGGTGATGTCGTAGCTCAGTTTCATAATTTCTTCCCCTTAGTTCTCCATATTATCAAATGACTTGCGGTGCAAACTGAGCAACATGGATCACAAAAAGGGGCAACCAAATCATCAGATGCAAAGAGTTGTCATCCATGTATTGACTAGAGGCTGCATTTTTTTAAATTTAGTTTCATTATTGGCTTTAATTCAGGCTCTGTAGATCAATTTACTTTTTTTTGTTTTGGGGAAATGTAAATTAGTGACAGATGCATTTGTTCAGAGCTAATAGGCTTAAACCTACTTTTTGGAACTTAACAGCCTTTATTATTTTTTACTACTTACATAGTGAACAAAGAAACCACAAATTACTTGCACTTCAAACATTGCCGTGCTCTTCACCAACGAGAGACAATCCCGATTTTAAAAATGGAGTGTCTCTGGGTGGTGTAATTTGTTTTACCATGCGATCACGTCTTCGAAAAGAATCGAGTTTTGTTTTTTTCTGAGATCTTAAAGTTCCCAAAGAGTTACTTAAATCCATAAGGATTCTTACAGTAATATGAAGAGGACTGAAAGGCAGTTTTAAGACTTTATGCCTTATTTGTCTACGGAGATAACAGTCAGTATTTCGTACCATGTAAAACTTTGACAGCCACCAGCTGTGCTTCTTTCTTTGCGGATGATACAGGCCATTTTGAAGTCTCAGTGACCAACGCGTCCATCTCGTCACTCTTTCTAATGGTTGCTTTATAAACAACACCAAATTCTCCTCTCCCCAGCTCTTCCTCAAAGTCTATTTGCTCAGGCAGAATTTCCCACTTGTCAGGGGGAGTAATCTCGTCTTGTGAATAAGGTGACCTAGAAAAAGGGACAAAAAAGGCTGGATTATTGCGCTGAGCACAATATTATAGTAACATATACTCGCATATCTGTAAACTTTACCAACAACAAAAATTATTGCACCTGGCTACTGGTGCATCGCGGGAGGATAATGGCCGAAGCTGAGATGTTCTCTTAGTGAAAAAAAAAGCTTGATCAGAATAGCCAAGTGGTGATAAAATAAACTGATTTTTTTTTTAAAAGTACGATTCAGTCAAGGGCACCATCCTTTACAAACAATGACTGCAGAAAAAATTTATTCAATTCTAATTCACTTCAGGCGTATCTAAAAACAAAATTCGTCTTCATCAGACTATTCTTAGGATTTTTTCTTTTTTTTTCCATGCATCCTTTCGACAATGAAAACGTTCTTTGATTATTTTTCATCAGAATTGCAAATAAAGTAATGGTTTTCACTTCTAGTTAATGTTATCTGTCATCTTGGCAGGTGCACTACGTCGGTTTTATTGACACGTGATGTAATTTAACCAATAACGTAACGGGGAGCGAAGATTAATCGCCGCGTTTAGATAAAAAGACAAAACAAAAGCTTTATTTATTTCCGTGTTTATGTAGCCAGCATAGCTGGAGGTTCTTTGGTGTCTTCTTTTATTTTGTGGTTTGCAAGTAAGAGTTACAGCCGCGCGAACACGGCTGAACCGAGGTCGAAGCAGAAAACGATGGGGGAGGGGACGAAGGGAAAGAATAATTACCAGGAAAGCGCTAATAAAAAAACATTAAACGATCGTAAACAAAAAAACTTTGGCGCGACATTTTGTCGGCTGACGTCAGACCTTAAAACATGTCACATCATCCTTTCACAAAAACTGGAAGGGGCGTTTTAAAAATCTCAAGGGGTTGAGTACAGGAGGTTTTTCTCATTTACTTCTCCCCTCGCCTCCTTCCCTATCATTTCTTTTTTGTCCTCGGTTCAGCTGTTAGCGCGGATGAATCTCTTACTTAACCAACCACTGAAAAGAAAAAAGGAGCAATCAAAAAACCCCCCAGCTACACATTAGCAGAGCTTCACAAACCTTTCAATGCTCTTTGCCTTTCTTTTTCGGTAGCACCAGACGAAAATAGCGACCGACAACAGCAAAATAGCGGACGTGACACCAAGTGAAATGTAAATAACTTTGTTAATGACAGTGGAATTTTCTGGTGCAGATGCGGGAGTCGTGGTTTCTATGACTGCAAGCAAAATAAATATATCATACTGTGATCAAAGGTACTGTACTACTATAAATGGAAGTGGGGAAGTTTTTTCCAATAATATGCGGTCAGATTAAAAGGGTTACAGACATGTTAGAGCTTATATAGTGTTAAAACCTCTTCTCTTACTACACTGTCACTTGTTGACAGTGGAACTTGTCTACAACGCTTCGGCGAGGACAAAAGCGGGTCTTACCTGGCTAACTGAGCTTGTACACTCGTGTCCTCTGTAATTATAAGATCCAGTCGTGATGAGAAGGCGTTTACACGAATAAAAGAACTTGTGCAACCACAAAGTATGGCAAAAACACCTCATGGTCTCAGCTGGCTAACTGAGCTTAAACACTCGTCTCCTCTGTAGTTATAAGATACAGTCGTGATGAGAAGGCGTTTATACGAATAAAAGAACTTGTGCAACCACAAAGTATGGCAAAAGCACCTCATGAAATGAGTCCGTTACCTTAAAATTGGGTAAACACAGATTCAAATAGCCGAAGACTTACCGTGTATCACGAAGAACCCGTTGTGCCATCACTGAACAACATTTTAAACACACCTACCTTAATCCTGCCGTAGCTGAGATTGGCCGAAGACTTACAAGTAACGAAATAGAAGCATTATAATCAAAGGAGGTAACAATTAAAAAGAAGAAAGAAAAAAAATTCAGTAGGAGTACACCATATTTGCTTTCCGATCAGTTTTCTCCTCATTATCATCATGATTTAAATTTTGAACCAACTTGTCTCTGTTTTGCAACATGTCAAAATCTTAGAGTGCGAGTAAATTAATAAATTTTTGCGTTTGTATAACCATGACACTTACTATTATTGCAAAGATCTCCCTCACAACATTGCAAATGTTGGTCATCAAACTGTCTGCAGTGATCAGCGGATATACATCCTTGAATGGTGACTTGTTGGTTATCCTCCGTTTTCTTGTCAAATTTGAAACAAAGGTTTTCTGGGAATGAGCAGTTGACTTTGATGGGAACCGATGAATCATTGTTTGGGTTCTGATAACAAATACTGCCTGTGGAAAAATGCAGGATAACTGAGAGGGTAGTCTCCTTATCACGTGGGTGTTTTAGATACAGAATATCTGACAAGGTCACTCCGCTTAGCGAAAGAAAAAGGTATGAGACAAATAATGCCGTTAAAGTAGGTAAGCGGCAGTATTTCAGAGATAATCTGGAAATGAACAAAGGAAACGCGCACAAAAGATGGGGTAACATCGCGCAAATAAGGAAAAAATCGAAACATCGAAAATTATTTCTGCAAACGAACTAGTTGATCCTATCAACAATTGTTTTCACAACTATCAGCCCTGACCTGGCAAGGGGGATACCAAAAATAAATTTCAAACAGTTGTGTTATCTTCGTCTCGTTTCCCTAGCCCCTAGTGAAATATTTGTAAACGAAAGGAAAGTCTAAGTAACCTAAAGTGGCCAGTGGTATTGTTTGGCCTTCATTATCAAGCATTAAGAACAG